AATGACCCGACAGATACTGCTATCTCGTGAGATCAGATCGAATCTCAATCGAAACAGTGAAGTATCTTCAGCAATGGCGTAGGCGGTGATCTCGCGATAAATTAATTTTTACCTCTTCGTGGGTGGTGGCTGTGTTCTATTGGCCAGTGATCAGGCACCTCCCACTTTGTTGTACAATGTTGCAAATCTCTCTTTCCTCTCTGACACCCTCATCTTTTCTATTTTTTTTCTCTTTTAATTTACCCATTTTCTCATCTCGCGATCACTTGACATTCATGTCATAAATCACAGTCACGTAAACGAGAAAAAAAAGAAAGAAAAAAAAGACAACATTTCTGTTTATTATTAAATAAATAATTTCATTATATAAACCATACAACTTAATAGATCCGTTCTAATCCGCATAAAAGCGTTAAAGTCTCCAATCTTGGTCTTGAATCATCTCAAGTAATAATAAATAATCAAATTACTCACTGAAGGGAAAGAAAAAAAATATTTTCCATATCTTCAATAAATTGATGTTGATTTTTAATCTCTCTACTGGAGAAGGGGCAATGTGTTCACGTGTCGCATATGACGAGAAATATACAAAGAAGCATAGAAGAGTTGAAGAGGCAGGTTGGTACAGACTCTACCTGCTTATATCCACCTCTTAGTCGTGGTCCAGAGCTACAAGCGGGGATCTTCTTTGCTCTTATCCCAGAGTGCAAGGAAAAGAAGGAGAGAGGCAAAGCAGTACTCGTCTCTCAAGGAGTATAGACGAGATAAGGAAGACTGGACAAACCAACTGACGGAGTAAAAGGTAGGGGATTCAGTCTTGCTGCCACGTGCTTCACGAGCGCACGCCCCGCGCCGGCCGGTGTGCATCACATTTTCACGCGTGCACTCATCACGTCTCCGACCCCCCTCGAGCATCAAGATACTCTGAAAAAGAGAAAATTACTTTTTGTTCAATTTTTCTATTTCAAAATGAAATACACTATGCCTCAATTAGTTGTATTCTTTTGAAAGTTCCAAGTGTTCCAAGGTGATATTGAGTGTGGTGTTTTTGGAAGTTGTGATAATGATGAGAGATTAAGTGACAGTGACATTTGAAAGTGAGTATTATCATTGGAATTCTTATTAAGAATAAAAGAAGCATCACTAAAATTGTCAGAGACAATTTGTCATTTTGTACATAAGATAAATCGGTAATGATCGGCAAGTTAAAAAGTGTGTTGGATCGGTATTTTAAAATCTAGATTGACAAGTAATCTATCCATTGGCAAAATAACCTGCCAGATGAAAAGATCGGTAAGAAATCGGCCCGGCGGCTGTCAATCACAAATTAAACATAAGAGTAATGAATGTGTATTCAAAGTGAGTATAAAAATCAAAGATCTAAATGATAAGATAAAATAATAATTTGATGAAGAAGAATAAGAAGAGAGAAAGAGGGAAATGGTGTGTCTGAACCGGTATGGGATAACGACTCTTAATTAATTTGTCATTAGTTAATTAGGATCGGCGTCGTAATGGGTAATGAAATACACCGGATGCCGACCGTTGTTGGAAGAGATATTTCCATGTACGGGTTTGATTTAGGTGGTATCCCAACGTATCAGTGGAAAGAGGATAGCTGAGAGGAAATAAGAAGAAGAAAACAAGAACTCCAGTGGCTAAGACATGAAATGTAACCAGAATATCAAAATCCCAATTCATAATTCAATTCATTTTATATTTATATTTTGGTATCATCTTAAATATTCGCTCTGGTCAAAGCTAATTTACTGCGATGATAAACTGCTTCACAGCTACCCTGTTTTTCTCACTTAATTTCAAACTGTTTTTTTTTCTTCTTACCGTCTTGAGATCTTTCTCCACCCCCTGCCTCTACACAAGACACGATTTAAATTAATATGCACTCGAGACTGCAATTAGCGCTGATATTTGAACGCCTCCGTGAGCCTGAAACGTGATAAAGGGTGATGACCTCCAAGTGGATTTCATTAAATTGAAAAGAATGTTATTTTTATTTAGCAAAAAAAGAATTTTTCTTTGTTGGAGTAATAATAAATAATTGATGGACTATTTGTTTACAGAACTAAGTGACAGGACATTAAAGAGTCAAGTGTGTGAGGAGAAAATGCGAAGGAAGTGGACGAGAGTGACAAACGGAAGGGCTCTTGGTGGGCCAACATCATCGAGATAAACGAGTCCGAATGGACGTGGGCGATCTGTCGAATGCGGCTGGATTGGCTGGGAGAGCAGCCGTTCTTGGTCCACCTGGTGCTGAGTTTGTTGTCACCAATACTAATAGCAGCACTAATTTAGCCGTTCACGCTAATCCTGGATGGTGGAGTACAAGTTCGACAATCGTCACGGCACCACCAAACTCCGACGTGGTAAGTAGATTTGAATTTGATTTTCTTTAATGAGAACTGAGTCATGTAGTAAGATGGACAAGTCATAATAGATTTAGCTATGAAGCAATCCTCCGCCATGATGTTTGTTATAAATTATATGTCTAGTCCTTGTACCACCTTCTCGTCAGTTTATAGAATAATAATTTACACTGATAATGAGTAATAACTGTGATGGTGATTATGATTGTTCATTGTACATCAGAGATGTGCTTTGCGTCCCACTGTGGCCTCATGACTGGTGATTATCGTTTCTCCGTTTCCTCTTCGTCATTTCTCTCCTTGTCTAGCATGTATGTCTGCTATTATTACCTAATGAGACGTTGCCCGACGGTACTCGCGGGTGCGAGATCAGAAAAGGGTGTTTTGATCAAGAAAAATGATTGACTGAGGTCATGGTTTACCTCTGAACGTGGCACCCTTATATTCAATTCAAGACGTGCTTATTATTGGGTTTTATTCTAACAAGTGTACGTCATCTGTTGGAAATATAATATAGCCTATGTATAGATTGTCTGATTGAAATAAAATCATTGCCTATGCTAAAGTACTTGACGTTTCCAATATGATCGTAAAATTTTATATTGACTCCAATTATGAGGCCTTTGTATCACCAATGTTGAATAAAAAAAAAACAATCTTTCTAATAATTTACTATCATTTTAGATGAATCAGCTGTGCAGAGTATGCGGCGAGCCGGCGGCGGGTTTCCACTTCGGAGCCTTCACTTGTGAGGGTTGTAAGGTCAGTAACATCTACACGAAGCCATTGTACAAGTCGGTAGCTTTCCGAAGAAGCATTCCTCATAAATCCGCATGACTTAGACCTAATGCTAGTAGCCTAACCCTTAACGGCGAATGCAGATGTTCTCTTCTCTGCGCAGTCTTTCTTTGGACGTACCTACAACAACTTGGCAAGCATATCTGAGTGCAAGAACGGTGGGGTCTGCGTCATTAACAAGAAGAATCGAACAGCCTGCAAAGCATGTCGACTTCGAAAGTGCCTGATGGTTGGGATGTCCAAATCAGGTTCTAGGTATGGCAGACGATCTAATTGGTTCAAAATCCACTGTCTACTTCAGGAACAATCACACCAAGCTCAACAAGCCCGCATCAAGGATCCAACGAAACCTTATGATAAAGTCTTAAATTCATTAGATGCAGCCAATAACAACTCTAACAACTTTCCAGCAGCATCAGCTGCTAATTCAACTGTCATTCAAGACAGAATCAAGAGTGAAGATCCAAGAACTCAATCACCAAGACTACCGATTCCACGACCTGATATGCTTGCTCATGATCTCCTCCGACCAGCTGTCACCAGGTTTCCATTGTGGAGAGGACCACCATTCTTCCATCCAGCTCTCAGCCACATGCAGCTACTCAATGCACCATTTTTTCCCTTTCCACAAAGGTTTATGGTACCGTATGCTAATCAAGTTTCACAATTACCCGTTACGAGTATATCAAGCTCTTCAAGCGAGAGTGTATCTCCAAGATCAACTCCATCACCAAGAAGGTATACTGAAAGTCAGCCAAGAGATAGTCCAGAAGTAAGTGATAAGAGTTTGGCTTTCTTTAGGTCTCTGGGACCCGAACAAGATGAACCCATGGATTTGAGCAGAAAGTCCTTGGAAACCACTGAAGAAGATGATCCAGTTTTCCAGGAAAGTATCCCAGAGAAAAGTCAGGTTATTGATAATCTTGAAAACGATGTGGTTGAATCAGAAACTGGACCACCTTTGGATCTCACCTGGAAGACATGACAATTGTTCTCGGATGGAAGAAGAGGCGAGAAAAATAATAATTCATTAGAAAATAGTCGTGACAGGTGTTGGGATCGGTAGTCGATCGTGTGCTTGATATTCAAGACTTACTGCAAGATGTTACGATGGATGGATGGTGTACCTGATAGGTTTCTCTTGTGGAGTTATTGCTGCAAGTGTCTTCTTCATCCAATTTATTTCTTCTGGGTTCATCATCATTTATACGTTGGTCATTTATTCATTGAGGAAAGGTTTTTCTTCATGATTCTATCCAAGTGCGTGTGATTCTTTCACTCGTCTTTAATGTCATTTATAATGTCACGGGAATGACTTTTCCATCGTGTTTATTGCTAAAGTTCTGTTTTAAAAAGCCGACAGAATTTCGTTTTTTCCTCATTTTTCACGACAGTAAAAATGTTATTAATTGATAAAAAGATTTTCTATTCGATTCTGTATTATATTTACTGCTCAAGTGTTTATTATTTATAATGACATAATTAACAAGATAATACGTGATTTTAAGTGGAAATCGAGGCCAGTATAAAGACTAAGGGGTGTGTAAATAATCGAGTGTTCAAAATAAATAAAAGAATATTATTTAAACAAGTCTCCTTGAGTTATTTTTGTTCAAGAGAATGAGAAAGAGCATTTTCCAATGGAGTCCATCCAGTTCCCTTGCACATTACCCTACTTAAAAAAAAAAGAAAAGAAAAAAAAACTCTCGTGCAATATTTGTCTCCATCAATCCTTACGAGTTCTTCGTGTCAATATTCTTTTCTACAGGTTGGAGATCATTCTCTCATGCTCATATCTTTACCACTGCGTGAGCCACTTAAACAAGAGGTCCGCAGATCCTTAAACATCAGTTCGTACATATCTTCAAGCACCTACATGAGCAATGTCGAAGAGAAAAAAAACATTCAAGAGACATGCTATGTATGCTAGTCTATTCCTAGTTTTTAACATCATTGGAATTTCTTAACTATTTATTCTCTTTTTTATCTTTATTTTTCTGGGTTAAATAGGAATTCCCAGACACTTAAAATTGGTATGAACTAGTTTATTCATCAAATATAATTCATTTTGGAAAATAAAATAATATTTATTATTTTTTTTTTTATTTTATTTGCTGATAAATGAGACTTTGGAAAATTAATGGATGACTTTTATTAAAAGATGATTGGAAAAATATTAAATGAATAAAATAAAAAAAAAGCTAGAAGATTCATAACTGAATGGCCGTAAAAGGTTTCAGCATGATAATGAATTATCAAAACTGATTCTTAAAAGCAAAAAATTTTATACATCAACTTTCATCCCAATAATAAGCATATATAATTTATAGAAAACTATAAAACTGAATAGCAACAAAATCTTAAAAACTTCAATAAAATGATACTCAAAAATTTATTACCTTTTACCATATCATGACAGATGCTATGAAAGATAATTAATAATAAAAATTAGCCGTTAAGAATCAATATAACTTTTCAATAGTCAACCAAAGCCTGAACCGTATACTGTACATAAGCAAGGTGGAATAATGTAAGGAAAGCTTGCGAGGTGTTCCTGAGGTCGTGGGACCGTATGTGAATCTTTCTCAGTATCGTATCGGTATTCAATCGATCCTATCACCGATGAATGAACATTTTTCGATGGGTCTGGCCACTCGTTACATCAAGAAGATACTACATACATGATACATGCATTGACCAAGCAACTCTAATGACTTTTATGCACAAGGATCAAAGTGCCTCTGTTATATTCTATGCTGCTTTCACCTGATCAATAGTTTTGGTTGGTGGTTTATCAGCATTATCATTAAAATATTTAACCAAAAATGTAGCAATGGGATCATGTCATCCAAGTCTACATTAAACAATTAATGTACAGATTTTTTATCATTTTTTTTTATTATTAAAACATTAAAATAATTTCTACTTGAATCTAGGATGATAAAAAATGCAAAGCAGTTGGAAAGTTAGCAGTTTTTTTTAATAATATTGTAAAATAATTGTAGATTTTCATCTATATGTCGATTGGTAAACAACAAAATTGGTTGTTAGCTTATGTTTATGACTAAGAAGTTAATTAGTAATTGAGTTGTCAATTAAAAGCTCTTACGATCAGCCAACATTTTTTGAAAACTCGCTGTAAAATAGACTTTCGGGTACTTAATCGATCGAAAATTATTGAGAGAATACGAAAAATGAATTCAATTTTTATTTATAATATCAAATCGTCTTTTCTGGCCACTTCAATGTGTTAATAAACTTTTAATTCATTTTAAATTATTTCTTGTTCATTTTTTTTTGTTATTGAATTGAAAAGATAATATTTAAAAAATCCATTATTTATAAATTATTATCAGAAATGAATTATAAGTATGAAAAAATAATCAATTAATTGAGAAAAATCAACGAAATACAAACAAAACGAGAAAAGTAATTCCAAGTCCGTAAGAATGAAGGAGATAATTAAAAGAGAAATAAAGTATAGAAGAAAAAAAAAGTTAAAGAGAGAAAGAAAGAGAAAAGTGCGTGGGCGTTGAAGGCGTACGTGAACGTGAGTAAACGCAATATAAAGTCTCTTGAAGGCTGGCGATGCAGACAGAAAGTAGAGAGAGTGAGCGAAAGAGAGGAAAAGAGATGAAATTATTTAGTAAAGTGTGCGCGCAAAGAGATGAGGTTTACTGCACCTGCATGCAGGTCTTGCAGGCATTCACGCGAGGTTGACAATCCGGGGTCACCAAGCAAATGCAGTTCCTCCTTAGCATGGCCTCCATCACATCGTCCAAGAGTCGATTGACCAATAGGAAATTCATAATACGTTTTTCTTTGCGACGTTTACGATCGACACTCGCCCTCACTTTACCCTCTTGCGACTCAAGAGGTCTCTATAAAAATCAACATTCTCATCTATAATTTTTTGTTTTCCGGATATGCTTTAACGTTGAGGCGGGAGGCTAATTGGCTTGAGATATTCCTACATAGAAAGGACCTTCTAAGGATCATGGAATGTTCGATCGATCTCGACGGGGGAACATTCGCAAACGAGACACGCTGTCCCTCTTCTTGCCAGTATGATAAGTCTCTGCGCGGGAGTTGGAATCAAGTCACGTATATGTCCATGTTTTTGCGCACTTTTATATCCCATTTTTTCCTATCATCAACTTGAGATTATCTCGCATCGACAGATTTTCCGCTGATTGGTGAAGAAGCTCTTCTGTTAACGACAAAAACCCTAGGTTTTTTTTGCAGCATAATTTTCTGGGCAATTAATAAAAAGAATATTTAAAAATTTTGAAAAAAAATTTATATTTATGTTAATATTGATTCATGTATAACATTTTTTATTTCAATTTATTTATAAACCAATTTATACATTTACTTATAGCAGTTAATGAATTTTAATGTTATATTTGTATAATTAAAAGAAAATTTTACTCACAGTTAAGAATCATGCGTTGTTATTATAATAAATAAATATTAAAAAATAAAAAAAATTGATACTAAAAATTGTTTCGATTTAAAATGTTGATATTATGATGAATAAGTAATAAATAAATGAATGAACAACAGCTCTAGGATCTTTTTCAAAACCATTTCCACAATCTCGTGACTTATTTTTACCCACTGTATTGGAAGACACATTGCATAATTTATTCACGTTATTTAATTCTCAACGTTTCGTTTTATTAGGGAACATTACACTTGCTAGTGAGGTTTATAACGTGAAACCTGGGAATTTGACTTGTATGTTTACGATCACTTATATGCTGGTATGGTTTTACACATATACCATCATCGTGTTTTTTGGATATTTATGTATTAATGATTCTCAAATTTATAGGACGATAACGAATCAAATATCAGTGTTGTAGTGTGCTCGAGATGATGATGGAAATAAAACATATATGGCATTAAATAAAAATTAAAAGAATCATATGGAAATGATAGATAAAAAAAATAATGAGAAAAATATGATATTGAATTGAATGGGACCACCTGATGAACATGAATACATTGATATGGATATTTCTTACAATATTCACGCCTAAAAAGATGTCTGGAGAATTTATGGTGTAGACATTTTCAATCTTGACACTTTGAAAATGTCTTAAGTTACATAATATTTAAATTAACTGACGACATCAGCACTAAAAGCATTAAAAACCGGCGATAACTTTTGTTTTATGGGTTAATGCTTTTTAATTATTTAGATCAATTGTTAAGTACTTATTTAATGACTTTCAACAAGTGGCTTTAAAAACACTTGATCAATAAAAAATTTTTATTTAAAAACTAAAATCAATTATAATTATAAAATACAATAATTTTATTTTTTATGACATTAATTATCAAGAAATAAATCATTCTGTTTACTGTTTTGGAATGAATATCATTTTTTTCAAGAATAAAAATATATTTATTTAAATATCTATAAACATTTAGATAACTGGAAACTGATAAAAAATCTATTGTTTTATTTCATAACAAAAATTTTTCTCTGCTTTATCTTTTTCTATTTATAAAATATATTTTAAGACAACAAAAAAAAATATGCAAAGATTTTTTTTTTTTTATCATTAATGCAAAATAATGTGTTTATTTTAATTTCTAGAATAAGTATCAAAGTAACTGAATAATTTAATAGCTATCACTCGATCATATGTTCGTTATATTTTATTTATAGATGGAGTAAAGTTTTTCAATCACTAGCGCAGACATTTAATATTAACAAATGATTGTCACGAGTTGCTATATAACGTAGTCTTACTCGACATTCACTACAGTCGACCAGTGCAACTTATTCTCTGTCTTTGTGGTGGTCCTTTAAGCGCATTCAAGCCGCTGGATAGGGTTAAGTGGGTGCGACCCCATGACGCTAAATAATATCGAGTTCTGCTGTGTGGTGTCATCCGAGTTACCTTGCGTATATGCTTGAAATATTATTCGCAGAGTATTATATTCTATGGTGTATATTCTCAGAGAAAGAGAGTCTTGAGAAAATTTCTGTCATTTAGGCTTCAACGAGATGCATATAAACACTAGATTTAGTTTCCGCGGTTATAATGCTTTTATAAAAGCCTATAAAATTTAAGTTTTTAGCAACTAATCTTTTTATTTATTGAAATTTTTTAATAAATTATGCTTATTAATGGATTTTTCTATGAAAAAAAAATGTTTAATAATGGAAATAAATAAAATATAGTGACGACACCCACATAAAATAGATTTATTAATATATAACTAATATATCGTATTAGATAATTATATATTTTATTTGAAGAATATATTAAGATATATAAATTTGAATTTTTTACAATAAAAATTAGCATTAATTTGGCTCAATTGTTTAAAATAAAATTGTTAATTGAAAAATATTTTAAATATCCAACATGACTAATAACTGTATTTATTTATCAAAGCAAACTTATTACTGTGTGCATCCAAAAATAATATAGATATTTTTAAAATTCCAGTTTTATGATAATTCTAAGAATCTGTCCAATATCAGATAAAAAAAATGTCGAAGCATTGTAAGCTGTTAATTGCGCTAACA